TCCCAAAAAGGGCGCTAATTAGACAACATAGCCATCTTTAATCGTGAACGAATCAGCCCCACGAATCATGTGCGCTCAAAAATTGTCGATCAAACTCAAGGCCGTTTAATAGACCCGCTTGATATTCTGCGTAATCCTGACTGAGCTGTTTTGAACACTTAAAACCCATTCAAACAGTATAGTAGCCTATTAACGCCCGTCCGACTGGCTCCAGTATCTTTCCAAAGCCATTAACCCTGTTTACTCCTTAATAGCGAACAACTAGAACTGCTCGTTACATGTTGGCACTTTTCAATTTTTCAGATGTTCACCACTGTCTCGTCATGCGCTGCGGCCCTTCTTTTTCTGGTTTCTTTTTGCACACTTTCCTTCATCCGTCCTTGTTTACATGTATCATATGTTGCTCAAATTCCCCGTCGAATTCCTTCTCAGCATCTCGCTTTTTTTGTTAGTTACATTATCCAGTTGAAATGGTTTAGCGGTATCCTCTAGCGCAATTTGCAAATTTAATTGTAAAAAGGTAGCTTTTAATCTCACTTTGGCCGGTCGGCTGGCAGGCTGGCAGAAAATGGTGGCCCGTAGAGGAACGCTTATAGAAAGGCGAGGAGTGTACATGTCCCTATCGTGTCCATGTAATTAACAACTTTAAAGACTGGGCTACATCATCTGGGATCTGCGACATCTGGGTGCCATCTCCGTGGTGTTTTAACCTGGTGATTTTGCAGTGCGTGGCGGAATTTTGTTTTTTTCTTAGTAGCGAAATTAACCACTTTTTGAAAGGCGCATTTTCCGCTGCAAATTTTGTCACGCTGTTTAAAGTTTCCTAAAGCACAAATCGCTTTCTCGTGTCGCCAATAGAAACTCGTGGTATGAGTGCCCCAAAAGTGTTTAGCGAAATTCACCAAAACGCGAATTGCGGGTGAACGGGAGGTCGGAGTTGGGTACCGACGAAGGGAATACGAAAATACACGACAAAATCTTACTGGTGGTGGAGTCAAAACTTCATTGTCATCTGTCATTGGTTCCAAAATTCAAATCAATTAAGAAAGCTTCTTTTGATACTCCACACGACTATGGAATGACATTTATTACAATAGATTTATTTAGCTACCGGATTGACCTTTCTAAAATCAGTAGTCCAATGAACAACTAATGTTAATTTAAATTCCTCAAGTCGCTTATCAACCTGATAACGGCATAAACCTGAATGTTTGCAGTTATAATGATCTTTTAATTTATTAGAAAACAAACAACTGCTAATAATGGTTTAGCGTGGCTGAAATTCTGAAAATTTGCCATCTTCTAAATGACAACAGCTTTCGAACGCAACAAGGATAATTGAAATATCTTGACGGGATCGGTTACAAACGGCGAATTAATTGCAGCGTTATTTACGGTAGCGCCGGCTGACACTCCGTCACGAAGCGCCCAACTTAAAATGCTTCTAGATACCGGGGGTTCCTCTACCACGTGGTCATGAAAGCATGAAAACTTCAAGGCGGAAAATAGGTGCTTCGTTACAAAATGATAACAGCTGTCTTTGGTTATTTCCACGACTAAACACGCTCGGGTAAAAATTCCCTTCATTTTTTACTGGCACAAATAATTCCTTTAGACGTAAGTGCAGATAGATCATTACTTCACGTCGCGAAAATTTCTTTTCTTTGGAAAACGCGCGTGTTATTAACACTTAATCCAAAGCCCGAAATTTTTTTTAACACTGTTGTTTAACAATGTTGATATGGTCAACAGACAGAGATCTCTCGCGCTTTATTTTTTTTAAGTAACGTGTCTTGAGCTCAAAAACCGATGTCTTTTCGCGGCGATCCTCGTGATGATGTCTATCGTAGTCGTAGACTGAATCTCCCCCAAAACTTTTTTCAGAGGAATCCCTACCTTTTTTTAATAATAAATTAACGCGTATTTCAAAATATCGCCACGTAATTAATTGAAAATTGAAATGCAAGTTATGTTGTTCCTTGACGCTTTAAATTGTCTGCAGCATCTAACCTTGAGTGTATGAGCACGTAAAAGTAATTAAGATAAAATTGTTTTCTTCTTATCTCCGACAAGCTCAAGCCCACAATTTCCATATCAAATTACGCATTTCGGCATCGATCTTGAGACTAAAACTAAACACGATTCAATTTGCAAACAAAAAGCTCTAGAACATTCTTGAATAAACGCATCATATTTCCCGAAAGAATGCGTCACATGCGCCATTGTTCCTTATCGCCGGGAACTAATACCGTATCGATTTGATGGCGACCTGATGGCGGCCCGATATCGCTCTGGAGTATTTGCTTCAATATCTGAAAGAACACAAGGAATGCCGATAATGTGAAAACCGTTCCCCAATATTGCCATGGATAAAGAACTGTGTCCTGTCGGAAATGGGAACAAAACATTCCCATTATTTCGTCTTTACCCACTAAATAAAACATTTTTAGCTTCCTAGCATGTGCTAGGTAGCTATTGCGATAGCCGTTTTTTGAACATTTCAAAATTTCATCAAATGTCGACGTTTTAGACCATTTTAAGCAACTTTTAAAGAATAAAATTTTTTTCCGTCTGTATGTACGTACGTACGTTTGTTGGCAATTTTCTGAGAAAACGGCTCGACGGATTTTGTTGAAATTTTGTATATATGTTTTAGGCATACCGAACAGAAAAACAACGGGCCGGATTTTTGGAAAAAAATTTTGGAGCGCCGTAACGGCATCGAACTTTTTTTTTCAAATAGCAACCTAAAATTTTTATTCTATTATTTGGAAGACCTTATTTTCCTGTGTACAACCTACAAAAAATTGGGCCGGGTTATATTATCAAAAAACGGAGAAAAAAATTGTTAAAGTCAAAAAATTGTGTTGCATATGTGCAAAACGCAACGATCTTGTTTCTGAAGCAATTTAAACGAAATTTCTATGGTAAGTCCCTTTAATAAAAGCAAACAAAATTCATGCGCAAAAATCGTGTTGCGCATGCGTAGAAATGCAACTTTCTTATTTATGGAACTAGGTACAATGCGAAATTTCATCAAATGTTGACGTTTTAGATCATTTTAAGCAACTTTTAAAGAATAAATTTTTCCCGTCTGTAAGTGCGTACATATGTTGGCAATTTTTGGTTTCAGCTAGGAAGCTATTCTGTCAAGAATTTGACACCTGGTTTAGTATTGATGTCACTACTGCTTTTCTTCCCATCGTTTATTATACTTACAATTATAATCTATAAATAATGAAATGAATTCAATTTTTTATTGCATTTTCCTAAATGGGAATAGTGTTGGACAGTTTTTACGTCTGTCCGTCCATTATTTTTTACTTTTATTAAACTAAAATGTTGATGAATCTTCTATTGTCCTCTTTTGTCTATAGAAAGTGGTATTTTTTTCCTGTACATTTTTTCGTGCTCATATGGAAATTCGTAATTATGATATCAAGCTTATTCATGATTAAAGTTTCTCTTGTCCCATACATAAGTAATTATGCTATACGTTACTCTTGGAAATAGAGCCGAGTCCTGCTTTCAATTATTTAAGCTTCCCTTTGAAAGGATTGCCATGCCTTTCCTTCATCTTTCACCCAACCGGGGCCCTGTGGTGAAGATCTGTCAATTTCCTTGTTTGACAAAGACCTATACCTACTGCATCTGTTATAATCGCTTTCTACCCTGCAGTTGCTATTGTATAAATTATCGACTTCATTTCTGCGGAAAACCCTTCTGCAATGGTATTTACGAAATAGAGTAGTAGTGTTATTTATTATCTCTAACTAAACCACGTATTTAACTATATCATATACCTTTCCAGAATAATCCCTCTCTCTTGAGGGTAGTCTTTTGTGCAATGCCTCTTCTAATATAATTATACTTATACATATAGCGCTCCTAGGTAAAATATTTCTCACCGTGTCATGTTTAATATTGAGAACTAAAACGCGAACAATGTAGAATATGGGATTTATTAAATGCTTCTCATAGCAAGAATGTTATTAAATTATTTTCGTCTCAATCACGCTTAGCGAAAAGATAAATTATTTATGTCGAACAGACTAATTTGTTACATGCAAGATATTACCCCCTACGTCAAAACGCGGTGCAAATAAGACTGCGTACTTAATAAACGAAATAAATTACTTTAATAAATTATGAGAAACTCCGAATTTGCCTTCACTAATTCGCTTTATATCTGCGGTATTATTGTTTATCCGCCCCAGCGATGATTATGTAGATGAACACGAATTTTTCCAAAATGGCGTACTCAGTTGAGCAAAAATAACAGTTCAGACGCTATCCTTTTGGCATCGATCTGTTAACATTTGGACAATCGCCGAATTTTGTTATTAAAGCGAAACGGAACAAAAGTTTGACCGTCCGACATTAAATGGGCTGCATACAGTAGATAAGACACATGTTTCCATCACATTTTCCAATTAAAATTTTCGAACGCCCACCCTTCATATTGGGGTAAAAATGTATATTCTCAAATGTAAACGTTGTTTGATTATCTCTGTTTAACTAGAAGGGGCAACCCCCGCTTTAAAAGTGATTGATGATAGCTAGATTGACGTCGCTTTTTTTAATTTATGCCAAATATTTGGAAAAGTTTATTACCCGTTATTGCATCTCGGAACTTTTCCCTTCGTTACGATTGGGCAACAAAGTTACGTTGAATGGATCCGGTCCTTTTTCCCTTTGGATTTTCTAAAGTTTTTTAGTATGATTTATACGGTAGGCGCCTTTTAGTGGATTATAAATTGAGACATTTTCTACGTAATGTGTCTTGTAGAATTTCTGTCACACTATCTAAAAACTGTTTTAGGCTTTATCGTTCTTATATCATTTTTATGGTAATATCTAACCAACAAATGATTCGATTTGTTTAAAATATCGCTTACTCCCCCTCGCGAACAGTACACCCCCGAGAAAAATTTTAACTTAAGCTATAAGCTAAATAGAGTGTTTGTGCGGTCACTAAGGTAAATGTTTTATTGTTTCAGGTTGTTGCTTTGTTACATTTTACACCCGAAAGGCGGCTCTGCTGGCTCAGGACGCGCTGCACAACGTCAAGACGCTACGAGGGGTAAGTCCTATGAGACGCGTTACGTTATTCAGATTTGGTGGCCGAGCGCGAATTTGAATTCCACGCACGTTCACCACTTTCCATCGATTTCGTGTTGCTGACGGAATGAAAAAAAAGTGCCATGTCGACAAGTCAGTTTAAAATGTACGTTGCCTCGCCATTAATTTCCATGTCAATTGTTACCGTTACATTCCGAGATATCAAGCAAAAAACTCGTTGAATTTGTATTTAAGGAAAATCGGTGCGGTGCTCGAATTTCACGAATTTTTGATTCGGCAACACGAGATCGGAATAACGAAATCACTTACATGTTTTCCATTTTATTTTAATACGTTTCCGCCAGGTGCGAGCACAGCAAAATACTGTTTCGAAATCTGACACCTAAATGAAAGTTACGGGCGGCATACCTTCGTTAAATATTTATGTGGCGAAACGGCAATTTTTATATTAAATTCGCGAAAACCAAATAAATTTTTGCCACTTATAAAGTTATTGTTATGCTGCCAAAGGTCGAATACATTTTTGCGGTTTAGCGCCCTTTTTTTATTGGTTCGATTGGTGTGAGACCAAATCGGGTAAATGGTTGAAGAAAGCTCGAGAAGTAAACCTTCTTCGTACTTTAGTATTTCATTGTTAAAGTGTAAACGGGACTACATCGAAACATGTATCTGGCGCCTTTTTAAACCCCTTGTCAACTGCTTGCATTTGCAACAATTAAATACTGAAGTATGGGATGAAGAAAAATAAATTGTTTTCCACTACACCCATTCGCCCACAATCGTTTTTGAGATATTACGTAAAAAAATGTGTTGAACGAAGTGTTTTTTCATTCAACGCTTTACTTTTCACACGCGTACAGACTAAAATAATGTGCACCAAACAAAAAATCAACAGCAAAGCCCCCATCATCGGTGCACCACTATTTTCAGCAACATTTGCTGATGATTACTGTTGCTGTCGAAACGCGTTTTTATCACTCGTTACAAAATTGTTTAATTTATTACTTGTGGAAGCTGGCGCGCATGCGAGAATCCATCATTGAAAGAAAGAAAGTTGAAGTGCGCCTGACAAAGCACAACAATTTTTACAAAAAATATTTTTATCTCCGCACTGTAACTGCCTAAAACCAAATTTTGCCCCTTCATTTGCGGGAGCAAAGTGTGCGTATACTTTTTGCGGGAGGTAAAGTACTTAATTTCCATTTTATCCGACCGAATGTTTGGAATGACAAATTGACAAATACTTGGTTGGTCATGCATTTTAATTGATTTAATTTTTTTATACATAATTTTAATATTGAAAGAACTATCATTATGACAATAACGGCCGGTTGCAAGAAAGCGAATTATAATCGAAATCCAAGATTATTTGCCAAATCCGAGATTAAACAAAAATTTTGGTTGCATGATCAAGTATTGGATTAAACTAATCTTGATTATTCTAATCTAAGTTTATTCCTACTATAATCCCTGATTACGTTGGTGTTGGGTTGCATGAAGCTGTAATCCTACATTTGTGATTGATTAAATCAAAATTATTCTAATTCGTCAAATCGGAGAATTAAACTGGAATTATAACGACAGAACTAGGGAATGCAATCCCGCGGCAGGCAAAATTTTGATCCCGGTATTTGCGGGATCGTTTATGTTAATCCCGGGGGATCCCGCAAAAGTTTAAATGTATTGGGAAATATGCAATTTTGTGCGGATTAACCGAATATTCTCCAACAAAACATATCGTATTTCCCGGAAAGGATGCGTCACATCCGCTTTCGGCCTCCACGTATATCTGGATTTCTGGAATATTCACTACAATTAATACAGCCATACTGTACTACTAAAGTTTTTATAAACCATCAACGAGTATACATGGTGTTTTAAATTGAGTAGGATGGTTATCTCTGTTATTGTTATACTTACGTACACTATCACCTCACAAACGTCAAATTAGTGTTGTGTCAAAATAGGGGTGAATTCACAACGACCTGGCGTTGGATTATAATAATTCTAGAATTTCAAAATCTAAGATTCGATTAAGTACGAGAAACCCGATCGTGGACTAATCTCGGCTTATATGTAACTCCGGATTTCCTAATTCATGTATATTCCAACCGTCTTGCAACCGGCCGTAAGGCTTCTTAACGTTATTCTTTTATTTCAAACACAAAATTATAGCGATACTGTAGGTCGGTACCTAACCTACTTACAATTATTGCACATTTTTTCGTTTTCAAGATCACCAAGAAGATTGTAAAACCATAGATCTACAAGGATTCTAATATTTCTCGAGGTTCTTGGACTACTAAAGATTGTAAAAGGTTTGAAAGTTCTTTAGGGATTCGATCAGCGAAAGTCTCAAAATAATGTAAAGTAAATATAATTACTTCCTTTATTTATTTACATTTAATTAACAATAATTTACAACAGTCTTAAAATGGATTAATTTATAATAGTAATTACAATTTATAATATAACAAGAACGCAATGATGTTGGAACTGAACTGAAATACACTACAATTTGCTTATATAGTAAACGACAATTGTTCTACTAGAATTTTTTGAAACGAGTCGGAATGTTCTAGTTAGAATAAACGCTTCATTTTTCCCGGAAGGATTGCGATTCTCCTTTTATCACCGATGACTAATCTTTCATGGCACCTCGATGTCTATCGGGATTTCTGTAATGTTCGCTACACTAACCCCCTTTTAAAATTCGATCGAACTGAAATCTAATGAGATTAAAGGGGACATTAGACACATCGACTGGTAAAAAATATGGTCCAAATCGGCCAAGTAGTTTTTCAGTTATCGCAAAGAAACCATTTTTAAAGAGGTGGGATTGCGTTGGTCCATCGATCACATTTTTAACTGATTTTAACCGTTCGATCACAACTATAATCCAATTGGGGCAGTTTATTTTGGATTTATTATATTGTTTATAGTTTGGCCGGCAAAAATTAAAAAGTGATTTCAACATTTTTTCCGGGAATCTTTCATTATCTTATTATTTGTACAATAAATGCTATAAAACGTCTATATTGGCCTATTTTTATTTTTCAAAAATGTTCGTTAGTTCCGCGCAAGTCGGAAGTAAAAATCGTTCGTTAGCATACTTCCTCTAACTAAACGATCTAGTTCGGTAGACTTTTCCATGCGTCCGTCGACGGTAGGGCACAGGGACACGTGCCCCGACTGGAACAATTTAGGGGGGGGGGCGGCAATGCCACCCCTACAAATTTCATATAGTTAATAAGTAAAAACAAAAAGGTAGAGTACAAGCCTCTGATTTTCGTTGACTTGAACGGGTTTATTCGATTGAGGATGAACTGAGAGTATTTTTACACTTTATTTCTTTCCTTCTTGAGAAAGTTTGAACTGCTCGTAGTTGTAGGTATAATTTACTTATTATGTACATATAACATAAGTAGGAGAGTAAGTAAATTTTTTAAAATATTAAAATACAGAAATATACGAGTAAATTATCTTTGTACCAAGTTTTTAGTAGAAACGGTTGTGCCCCCCCTGGAATTTTCAAAAGTCGGCGCCTTTGGTTACTCTTTGATGTAACTAAGGGGTGGCCTTGTTTTGTGGTGCCCCGTGATGTCTCCGGCGACATCAAATGCAAATACCTATAACTTTGCATGCTACATGCTCTCGAGACCTTCGAAAAATCTTCTTGGGATTATCTTAAGAATCTTACAATGTCCTTTAGAATTTCCTTGTGATCGTGGTCTGAGCCTTTGTATAGATTCTAAAGCGAAGCCCCTTCTACAATTCATTTTATTTTATACAAATACCCGCTATTTTACCTTAGCGGGGTTACTCCTACAACAAAAACAGCGCCAATTACATAATAACAGCTTTCCTATAGAAAAAAGTAGCAATTATGCTACACTAGCCAGGCAAATTTAACTGACGGTGAAAGTATAATAATTATTTATAATAAATAAACGCGTTAACACGGGTAGACAAATTATGATGTCACTAGGGATCTGTTCTGCATATTGATTCTTATTAAAAATGCAAAGGAACAACATCCCGGTTGTGTTCTCAACTCTGCCCAGGCGAGAAAATGAGGCTCTCAAGGCAAAATGATTGGTTGTTCCAAATCACTTTGCACGCTATTTTTATCAACTGTTGTGACTAACGTCATTTTAATTAAACTATTTCGTAACGTTTAAACTTCTGCGTGACAGGGACTGCATTAGTTTACTTGACAGCCTTATCTCTGCGCTCCGTTTCGTCTGTGCTCTACTTTTCGCTGCTCCGTTCTAATTAACTCTAGAATGCAAATAACTTTCTCATAGTTAAATATGAATGAATGAATTTATTTAGGTTGGGATGTCACGACAGCGTTGGTTTGTTTTATAATTTGTTGTCCCAAACATTGGCGGCACTGATCATTGATCATTTGATAAAAGGTTCGGTATCGGAAGAGCTTTTATTTCTGCTTGTATTCGACCCTTTTATATCCATCTTCGCTGATTATCTTATCTGTTAATGCCAAATGTCCATGTACGTACATTAATTGCAAAAATTGCTTAGGTACACAATGTTGCTACCTATATCCCCTAAAAGCACAATTTTGCGAGAATTCTAACTAGCAGATGTAAAAATAAACTATTAACAATAGAATGTTAGGTTGAGCGGTAGAGCAACGGTTGAACATTATTCAACAATATGTTAAACTTTGGCTAGCTTGATTGACTTTTTTTACCTTGTTTACTGTAATTTAAAGCGAAATTAAAGACATTGTCATTATTATGCACCCTGTACTAATAAACCACAAAATTTTTCAATTTCAGAATTGTATAACCTCCGTATTAAACAATGATCGCCATTTTTAATCTTAAGAAGTTAACCCTCTGACACTGGAGGTGATTTTGATTCCAAGGGCCTACAGTTTCACCATCACTATATGCAGAAATTCAATGGATGCATGGACTTTGACGTTTGCCATGAGACTGATAAACATTCAAAAGTGTCTAAATTTGTAAAAAT